TATTTGTTTTTTGCAATGCTTAAAGTGGACTTTTGATGTTCTAAACTATTAAATAAATGCAATGAGAAGCATATGTGGTCCTCTCTCACTCACCGCTCACTACAGGGTTCCTGCTGTGGTCAAGCCAACAGCAGGAATGCAGACTGGTATCCCAGGGGCAATGGGTTGAGAATCTCTGTCTGTCTTAATTTTCTTTTTTACTCTTCACCCCCAAAGCAGTAAAGAACATTGATGTAGGCCTTAAACAACAGGGTTCTCTCAAATTAAGACCAGTGAGAAACTCTAATTCAGCATTTCCTTCACGGTTCAACGGGAGCCATTGAATCCCAGCCCATGTGGGGGTCTTCTGTGGGCCAGGGCAACATAAACCTAAACCTCTGTCTCCATCACCTGACCGGGGTAGAAAATAGATGACAGTTGGCCAGCTGACCCACGTTCTCTCCGTTAAGGTATTATCTGACCTAAAAGATGTAACCATTTCTTTGGCTTTTCCTTTAACTATTAATCTTAACAGATGTGAGGACGTCTGTTGACTTGGTTGTATTTTTTACCCTTTATGAACTCAGTGACCGCTCCTTGGACAACGCTAAGCACATTATCAGCTCATCTAACAGAGGACACAGTAGAGAGGCAGGCGATGATCTCCAGATATGTGATTCGTTGCCTTTTGCAAGGCTTCTGCCATTTATGCCGTACTGATGAAGATTGATTAGTCAGCTTAGCGTGACTAGACTCAGATGTGCTCCGAGTATGGCTGACTTACTCTACGTCCCAAAATCTGAGCAGGGTTTCCCTTTCCTTTGATTCTCACATGATCAAAATGAGAACGTTCTAGTCCATCAAAGCACCGTTTTGGCTTACATATCATCGTCAGACACAAACCATGTCCTGACCTTTTGACCTCAGGTTTCGTCAGACTGACTGTTATCTGCACTAATGAAAATAAAAGGTCAAGATCTTGACATCCCGAAGCAGAAAGGATGGATCAACTTCTCCTAAAGCAATCTCTGCCTTTCTCTTTCATTTCACATCATTCTCTTTATCGCTTTATCTCCACCCCAGATAGCTCTCTCCTGAATCCATAAGTCAGAGTCAAACTCCTACAGCAAAATATCCTGAGTGGTGTCATTTTAAATGCAAAACAGAATGAGTCAGTCTCAGCTGCCCGTCTCCAGCCCTTACAGAGCTCTCATGTTGCCCAGACTCATTACGAGCTAAAGTAGAGGCAGCAGCAGATCAAGGGGACTTTTCAGAAGGTTAATTTCCTTAACTAACCAAATCTCCTTCAGCAAGTGGATCACCTTTCACTCCACCAAGACTCTGGAGCAATGAAGTCTGTCACTGAAACTTGGAGACCCTCGAACTTTCGACTTTGAAGTTGAAGAAATCAAAGCCTAACGGTGCCTTAAGGTTATCAAATGAACTGAAACTAAAAATCTGAACATTGCCTTGGTAATGTTTAAAAGGAGATACATAATACCCCACCACCACCAGCTGATAAGATTTTATGAGCTTCTAATAAAATGTGAGGGTAATGCTTTGGTCAAAATATAACATGATTACAGGAACAAGGTCTTCTTTCCTAGCTTCTCTTGACAGCAAATTTTGGTAACGCTTCCTTTTACGGTCCCCTAATTACCAAGTACTTACATGGGAAGAGCTCAGATGTGCCTGTTTCAGGAAGTACAAATCAGCAACTTCAGACAGCAGGATTTGGAGTTTGATTCCCTGATATTTGGTCATCTCAACTCGGATTAGCTTGCAGCAATGCAACTCTACCACTGACTGTTTGCTCAGAAGAAGAAGAAGAAGATCTTTTCTATAGGGCCTCTCAAGATAAAAATCACGAGGCGCTTCCCAAAAACAAAAAAGGTAAAAATATAAAAAAAATTTAGAAAATGATTAGAAATATATTTAAAATGAGCAAAAAACTAGGCTATTGTAATTAAAAATGTACAGAAAGAGAGAGAGTGAATAGGAAAGAGGAAAATCAGTGGATCCTGAGGAAGGTGAAGTAGGTAGGGAGAGCAGAACAAGGAGAGGGTGAAGAAGGTCACACAAAAAGCCAGCCTGAACAAGTGAGTTTTCAGCTGCTTTTTAAAGGAGACCACTGAGTCCACTGATCTCAGGCTCAGGGGGAGAGAGTTCCAGAGTCTGGGGACCACAGCAGCAAATGATCTGTCACCTTTGGATTTAAGCCTGGTGCTGCACAACCAGTAGGCTTTGATCACTGGACCTCAGGGACCTGCTGGGGGTGTAGGGACTGAGAGGGACCATGTAAGGCCCTAAAGACCAGAACCAGGATCTTGAAATGAACCCTGAAGCAGACTGGCAGCCAGTGAAGTTGGAGGAGAAGCGGGGTGATGTGGGTGTGTTTGGAGGACTTGGTCAGAAGCCGAGCACAGGCATTCTGAACCACCTGTAGACGGTTCAGAGTGAGAGCTGGGTCAAAGGTCACACCAAGGTTCCTGACGGAGGGTTTGGTGTGAGAAGCAAGCTGACCAAGAGTGTCTCTGACTTTGGGAACCAGCTTGTCTGGGGCACAGATGAGGATCTCAGTCTTATCTTCATTCAGCTGTAGAAAGTTCCCACCATCCAGGTTTTAATAGAGTCTAAGCAGGAGTGTAACAGCTGCAGCTTAGACATCTCATGGAGCTTAAAGGAGATGTACAGTTGGATGTCATCTGCATAAAGATGGTAGGAGATTCCTTTGAAGGAGCTCTGCAGTGTTATTTTATCTCCACAAATAACACAAGCCTGAAAGAGTTATCTTTTGTCGTGGAGTTGCTAATACTAACGGCTAGCTTCTAATAGCCAAGACGTTCTCTGCTGTTACCTGGACACTAAACCAGCAACAGCCTTCCCCATTGTGAGTCAAGATGAGTGAGTCCATGAAAATTAAGTGGCAGTGAGATATAGATTTGTCAGGCTTTTCTAATCCAAGAGTTTCACAGTCTATTTTCAACCAGAAGCAAATGCAGGAGATAGGTGTAGGAGACTATTTTCATGTTCAGCCTGCATAAAAAACTCACAGTGACCAATTATAATCACAAATGATAAAAAATAGTTTATCAGTGAACCACACCTTTAAATAGAAAATGTGTGTGTTTTCCTGTGATTTTTTTTTTCTCCAAGTGAACCACCAGTAGCCACAGCCGCTGTTGGTCTTCTGTGGTCATTTTAAACAATAGTAACTATTTACCGCCTTAACAAAATGAAGTGTTGTTCTTCCCACAAGACAGAAAGTAATAAAAATGTACAAAATAAGTACTTTTAGAAATAAAGTTAATTATTTGACTTCTAACAATAATTTAAAGTAAAGTGAAAGAAAAGCAAAGTTTTGGGGTAATGAAGATGAAGATTTGCTCTAAATGTTAAACATTAATTTGCTGAGTCATGATCCATTCGCTAACGCTTGCTATTAGTAGCAACTGGACGGGTATTACTAACATTTCTCTTATATATTTGAAAGCTTCCGTTTAAAGTTTTATTTCACACACACACACGCGCACACACACCCATCCACTTCCACCACGAGACAACAGCTCAAAGGTCAGCTTAACGTCCACCTGACAGCCCTCAAGGTCTTTGTGACTCTGGGCCACCTCAAGTAACAGCGACGTTTAGTCATCAACATGTCATGCACTAAAGGAAGTCAGGGTGTATCAGGGAAGTGACATCTACCTCCCTCTGCTTCCAGGCTGTCAACATCTGACTACTGAAAAGGCCGATAAATTATTACATTAACACTTAAAATTGTGAAGAATACAATAAAAATAGAGCTGAGATGAAAAGACAATAGAGCTTGAGGTCAGGAGAAAAGAGTTTATTGGCCATTTCCTCTGTGGGTTCTTAAAGGATTTCAAATTTACAATTTTGTTAATATGTCTGAAAATAAAAAATATTTAAGGCTTATGAGGTTGACATCTTTTTTTAAAGGTATTTTAAAGAAAAAAGTCTTCTAATGATTGAAAGTATTTTTACTGAGAATAGTCAAATTCCAAAACTACCCAAAGGAAATGTGACACATTGCCTCTGATAGTCTGACAAAGCCAATATTACCTGTTTCTAATGTTACAGGTTACTCAGGCATAACCTTTGAATTTTCCTCATCATCATAATGGGGATTTTCAGAATGAGCCACACACAAAAATAACCAAAAAAGGAGAATTGAAATTGCTTCATATTTCTAGTTAAGAAGTAGGAGTTGCACATTAAGTCAGGATGTTTCATCATCACTATGACTTTATTTATGTCCACAGACCATTTCCCTAACAACACATGCACAAGGGTTTCCAGCTTTAAAAAATGACCAATACAAACCAGAGGCTTAAATAGGGTCCAGGTGTTGCTTATCTGTGGTAAAGCCAAAACAATGAAGCCGTGAAAAGTAAGAGATGGAGATCTCTGTGAACAGCACCTCAATTTACCCTAAAGACAATGTCAAGATGGTTTCCATGCTGGGCAGACTTTTTACCACAACAATGCCCTCTAGTAGATGTAAACATAAACCCAGTGTCATGCCCAACAAAATAAAAATTTGATCATTCATTTTTTTAAATATAGCTTTTAAAGAAAAAACTGCACTTTCATAATGCACACATCTAAATTCCTCTTGGAGGTGTAATGATTTAAATTACATGTTATTTAATAAGCCATAAGACAAAAGATTCCATAGCAAATATGAAATCAACCTTATGGATCTGTGAGGTTATTTTAAACCAGAAGATCGGAACTTTTTATTGCAGGGATTAGGTAACAGCTTCATATTCACCCAGAGACAACAGAAGAGAGAGAGTCGAGTTTAAAAGTTTAAAAATTTATTACTAACAAGTTAAACTAGACTAACTTTAACACTAAATGTATGGTGTAACTAAGGTGAATGAGACGGATAATGGTGTGATGTGTAATGTTGCTCAGAACCAGCAAATCCGAAGAAGCGATTAGTTCTGATGGGAACTGAAGATGATGTCTTCACGTTAAGCTTTGATAAGGAGATTCATAAACACATTAGACGCCATTTCGTCAGCCTACATACCCTTAGCGGAAGTCCCCGTCTAGATCAGGAGTGTCGAGGTCCAGCTTGACCTTCTCTGGAACCGAAGTCGGTAGGAAAAGCAGCGGTTGCCGACCAGACCAGTCTTTGAGATACTTCCAGGTCACAACAGTTTTGTTGGCATCTAGTGAGACCCAAACCTGGGTCGTGATGGTTCAGCTTTTATTCTGAAAGGAACCGTTGCAGCAGTTGGAACAGCAACAGATTTTATCCGGCTTGTCGTTGGTTCTTTTGGCTGAAGAGGAAAGTTACGGATTGGCCACTCCGTCAACTTCTCTAGAACGCTTTGAACTGGCGTTAAAGATGACGTGGGCATGGTTTTATACTTCGGATGTTTTGGCTTATGGTCGAATGAAAAGTTGACAGATTTACCGAACACCACCAAAACCACGCCTCCGTCGGATCTGGCAGATTGGATCAGTGAATGCAATGCGTCATGTCTTTTAATGCTACATGAGATCAGTCTTAGTGGAAACATTTAAAGTCATATTACTTATTATATTCTATAGGATTATAATAAAGTAATTAATATTTAGATTTCACAGATTGGTCACTTCTTATTTATTGACTAACACTTTGTTTGATTAGCTTTACTAAAATAGAGTTCTTTGATTTACTAAAAGGAGAGAGTGCATTCTTCATTCTTCTGTTGAGCTGGAAAGAAGAAGTTTATAACAAATGCATGAGACCTTGAGGCCATATCTCATGCAGACTAGTCCTGTGTCAGAGGAGAGGGGGAAATGACTTTTGGTGGAAAACGGTCATTTCATACCGTTACAGAGGTATTTTTTTAATATAGCTTTTTAATTTAATGTTCTGTCTGAGGTGTTTTTTTCTTCTTCCGGCTCTTGGAGAATACAGATGCTTTTTTCCTCCTCTCCTCCCTATCTTATCCCAAGGCTCTTTGTCTGTCTTTGGGTGTACAGCGCTTCTGCATTTTTTCTGGAAACTGGAAATTATTAAAAATGGACCTGGTCAGTTGGTCTCAATGCGATTGACAAAATTTTTTCAACGATGACAACAGGAGAAGGGGCTCCTGGATGCCCCTCTGGGACTGAGCCAGCTGGGTATATAATGGACTCCTGGAAACAGTGGAACCTGCCACGCAGAACAGTGACCTTCCTCCCATAGCCCCAAAGATCTTTTTGTTACTGTTTCTTGCCGCTGAAATGTTCAAAGCAATCTACCAAAACACCAACAAAGAGGCAGCAAATAGTTCAAATGTACTGAAATTTAAGTAGAAGATTTGTGCATATTTTTTGGCCTCTTGATTTACATGTCACTAATGTCCCTGCCCAGTATTCAGGACTATTGAAAACAAAACAATATGTTGTCTGTGCCTCTTCCAAACAAACTCATGCCAAGAGACAGCCTGGCTCTGTTCAACATTTTGGAACATCCACATTAGTGATCACTAAGAAAAATTCAGAAAATGACAGAAAGAAACGAACAACTGAATTTGACAAGCTGATTAGAGTCAGGTCTCTCTATGATAACACCCACCAGGCTGATTTCCACTCAAGGTGGGAGCTGGCTGTAGATGAAAGTATGGTGGCAAAAATCTGCATTAAACAATGCATCAAGAAAAAGTCAAATAAATGGGGGATGAAAATGTTTGTTTTGGCTGAATCAAGCAGGTGCTACGCCATCAGATTCAGCACAGACAAAACTGAATCTCACCGTGAGCATGCATGGGCTCTCTGATGATAGTCATGAGCCTGATTCAGACATCCACTCTTGGCACAGGATGTCATATTTACATGGACACCTTTTATTCTGGTCCCAAACTGTTGTCAGATCTGGCAGAAATGAAGTTTGGAGCATGTGGCACCGACGGGAGAACAGAAAAGGATGTCCCCGAGGGAGAGTGAATGCTCTCACCAGAAAACCCAAAGAGGATCTGTGAGATGGATTATAGGAGGCCCGCTCGTTTTTGTTAAATGGATGGATATGTGTGAGGTGTCTGTGTGCTCCACCATCCATCCTGCATTTTCTGGAGAGACTGTAAAAAGAAGGGTGAAGGACCAAGATGGCAGCTGGGCTGTGAGAGTGATTCCCCGCCCAACACCAGGGGTGATTCTCAATGTCAAGGAATCTTGCCTTGATGTCTTGGCCCTGCCCCGGTTACCTAGGAGATACGTCATCAGGAACTGCCAAGACATGTTTTAATGTTCATGTTCTACCAAGGCATGTGTTCTCCATTTGTTAGTCGTTTAGCTAGCTGAGCAAGGATACACCGGAGGTGCCTTGTAGCCTAGCCTTGTTCAAAAATGACCCACAATACACCGCTGTATTTTCAAAAGGACGGCGGATCAGAAGCCGGCTGCTACTTCGGGGACAATTTTCAAGTTTAAAAGTAAGTCAGCTAATTTAAAATGTTTTTTTAGATCCAAAGAAGTTATCTATGGTTGGTAAGTTGCTTAGTAGTTGCAGCTTCGGTGGCTAGCGGGTAGTAACTCACTTATATATTTAATTTAATATATACACAATTTAAAAAGTAAAAGTCTTGTTTTATATTTATATTGAGACTAATACGTATAAAATATAACGTAATCTCCCGTGTCATGTGACGTTACGTGACTGCAGCTGAAGCTGCAGTCACGTGATGTAAGTCTGTTCCATTTAACCATTTTCTTTGACCAAGGAAGGACAGTGTCCTCGTAAGCAAGGCGCCTGGCCTCGCAAGACATTGCCTCACAAGGCCAGGTGCCTTGGCATTGAGAAACACCCCAGTTGTGGCCTACAATAAAAACATGGGAGGAGTAGACCAGCTCGTTTCGTACCACTGCACTCACAGAAACACTAATCGTTGGTACAGAACCTTGTTGCTACACTTTCTGGATATTGCTACCACAAATGCCTTCATCTTTCACCGTGAGCTGAGCAGTGTTAAGAAGGAGCAGGCCAAGACACGCAAAGACTTCATGGTGGAGCTATGTGTCAGCTTTTTCACATGACTAAGGCAGGTACTCCCCAATGAGAGCTGATCATGTTCCTGTGGCCATTTGCACATAGACCTTGCCCTAAAAACCACCGAAGGCAGACTAAAATGTAAACACTGCCTCCTAGACAAGAAAGGTACACAACATCCTATGGAAGTGCCAGGCCTAAGATGTGACCTTCTGCAATGGCACAAACAAACCCTTATCCTTTTGTAAATAAGTGTAAGCATGTGTTGAAATATTGCAAAAGAATTTGCAGCATTGTCACTTATTTTGGCACAATTATATATTTTTTTCTTTTTCTGTTTTTGACGTGTGTAAATAGTTGTACAAAAACAAATGTAAAGATTTTTTTACTTTCCTGCTAATAATTTTATGAAACTGTGACTTAAAGTTCAAAGTGCAATCACATTATGTACAAATTCAGATAGTCCAGGTTGTCCTGAAGAGAATGATGCCCCATAAGGCAATGTTAATGTTTTTTATTAGAAAATACTGCATCTTTGTACTCCTCCAGTCACAGTTGTATCAATGTTCATATAATTGGACTTCTTCCAAGAGACAATCCATATCTGATGCTAAATGCCTTGGGACTCGTTTAATGTATTTGAACAATGGTGCTGTTGATAAATTTAAATGAAGTGGCATCCTGATCATGATTGGCCGCTATTGACGGATAGTTAAAAAATTAGGCATGTCTCCATCACTACTCCTTGCATCAGCACATCATGGTGTTGCTTCTGTCCATCGCCAACTTGACGTAGAAGTTTAAAATTGACTCTAGAGGCAGCTTGTTGTAGTAGCAGCTAATTAGTTCTTTCATGTGGCCAGGAGAATCAGTATGATATTCCTGCCAAACTAACAGTCTTACATTAAATTGATAATTGTGTAAAGTTTAAATGAAAAGCAAATTGCATGGGGCACCTTTAAATTGGTTTTGAAAATATACTATGACCTTGACTCTGCTTCAACTAGCCATCAACTTGTCAATTCGATCCAATGAGTTAAATATTGTTACTGCCTTTCTACAGAAACCTAGTTCAAAAACATGAACTGCTATTAAGAGCCAAGTGTTGATGGTCCTCCAGCTTTTTTGCTAATAAACCTTAAGACAGTCCTAATGTATAGTAAGTCCCGTAAATGATGTCAGAAAAGGTGGCACCTCTGGAAAACCCCAACTCCAAATCCGAGAAACTGAAAAAAGACCCACCTGTTACTCAACGCTACTCAGCTGACTACCGCTCTAATTGCTTGTCACCTTACCAAGTGGCCAGTCACGTTAAATAAAGGCTGACAGTACGGTGGAGCTGAGTCAGCAGCCTCGGCAGTTTATCCACTAGATCTTCTAACTCATACGGATTTTCCGTTCTGGCAAAGCTCTTTGTTTTCTGTAAGTTTGTAGCTGACATCCAGGGAAGATCGGGGGAAAAAACGGTCCATGCAGAAACAATATTAAGCGTCTTCTCAAGTAACACACATGCAAAATGGCTGTGAGAGGTTGAGAATGAGGGTCTCCTGTGTGGTGTAATTCAACCCTTAAAACTGTGACGGGAAATGAAGTTATAGCTCCTCCATGACAATCAACTTGGCCGTAATTGCCTCGATCTAACCCAGGAGTACTAGTTTCGAGGGAGGATGATGATGATTATATAGGATACAGACAACATACACACATCTTTTTTGTCTTGACTGAACATTGGGTCAGAGAGTTTTGATTCATGATGATGTGGAGGAGGAAGAGCTAAGAAACAGAGAGAGAGAGAGAGAGAGAGAGCTCAATTTTACTCATCAGTCAGAGGCAATGAGAGGAACAGCTGTTCGCAAATTCCGCTTTGATCAAAAGTGGCTTCTATGTTGTTGCAAATGAACCCATCTCTTTTCTTTAAAGTTTTAAAGGTACAAATCAATACTTCAAAACATATACATGTGTTAGATTAATAAGCTGAAATGAAAAGTTTCTAATGAGAACTGTCTTGTGCTTTTCCCCAAAGAGCAAACAATGAAACCCAAAAACCAACATTTTCTAATGTTATTCCATATAAAAACTTAAGATGTTCTAAATCATCTCCCAGGGACTCCATTAAAAAAAAAACCAGTCCATTTTCTCCCCTCATCTTGTTGCCATCTATTAGATCAACCGTTTTGCAGAATAAGCATCCAACTCTGTAAACTCTGAGAGCTCATAAAGTGTGATTAGCAGCACACCTGAAATGCATTAAGCTATTAGCTGAGCAGGGAGTCAACTTAGGGTACAGTTTGGTTAAGATGCCACACACGTTGAGCTGCATCACTGGTGTTATAAACAGACCACATTACCTGCACGCTAGTTTCATTAGACTTGACTTTTCATGGATCAATGCATCATAATAGAGCTCCAATGTTTTCTGTGCAAACAGTTTTCTGCAGTCACAAGTTGATTTTCACATGTGGAACATGTTTCATGACAGTGGTGAATAGGATGAAAATGTGGAACATGTGCTTAGAATATTAAGTTCTCAATAATGATGTCTGTTTTATGGAAATGTTTACATAAAACAGCGGCCACAAGGACTCCTATTGTAGTCAGCATGAGTAGCATCAGTGGACGGAGTAAAGTGGGGCCACCCGGCCTCCATTTTCGTGGCGTTAGGGACTGACTACATTCTAAAGTACACCACAAAGGTGTGGACTTGAGTCATGAGACATGTACTCCATTTGGACTTTTGATCATTTAAGTCCTAACCTGATGAAAAAAAAGACTTGGGACTTGACTTGAAATTTAACACAAATTACTTCATTTTGACGTGAGCCTGGTGACTTGAAAAGTCTCGGTATCTTACACTGTGAAGATGAGGCATGCAGCACCTGCTTCTTAGGTTTTTCGAAGTTTGGTTGTGTTTGTGGTTTTTTTCAATTGAATGCACTTTAGTGTATTTAAACAAAAGAAGTATTTTGGTTCTGAAAATTGCTCTCATTACTTTTTAAGTAGATGATAAATGTGGTTAAATTACTTGTTTGGAGCTCAAAATGTAACGCTCAAAGCATTGAGACCTGTCTTGAAAATTGAGATGTTTATGCTGTTCATGTATTTGGCAGACACTTTTGTTTCAGACAAATTAGAATTAAGGGTGTAACAATGCCTTTACTATTGAGGTTAGCAATAAATAACCTAGAGCAGGACTATTCAAGTTCGGGCCTCAAGGGTCGGTCTCTAGCACGTTTTAGTGGTTTCTCTGCTCCAACACACTAGATTTAGTGGTTGAGCCATCTGTACAGCGACTCATCGGGCTCAGCAGAAGCCTGTTAATCACCTGCTGATTGAAATCAGGTGTGTTGAAGCAGGGTTAAAACTAAAATGTGTTGGATGCTGGCCCTCGAGGCCTGGAACTGAATAGCCCTGACCTTGAGCATGCAAGTCAGAGGTAGCCTGGCCAGCCACGCCAATGCGTCCTAATGGGAAGCAAAGGGCTTGGTAACACTCCCATTCTAATAACCCCACCCCCTGAGAATTCTAACCGAACCAATCAGCGCTGAGCAGCGTATGTCATTCATAGGTAACCATGTAGAACTTGAGTGCAAGCATAGAAGTGAGTGCACAAAAGAGAGCACAATAGAGTAGGTGAAGGGAAGTGCTGGGTAGCTGCTAGGGCTGGAGATAATCTCTGAAAAGATGGGTCTTGGGGCCTTGACTTGGAGCTTGGTTTGACTAAATACTTGCATGTCATGGGAAATTATTTGAGACTAATATATCTTGGGTAATAGGAATAAGCAGAACTTGCAAAAATATTACTCTTGACGACTGCATGTTATGCACCAGCTCCCCACGTGAGGAATAGTAAATAATAAATAGTAAAGGTGTGAGTGTTGCATACAGGGAGCGGACCTTACTACTTTTTAAATGTTCTTACCTCTTAAATCATTATTAACATTCAGTGGCTTTGGCTCCTTTAAAAGCCATAACATACTATCATAATCTACTATTTAATGAAAAACTGCAGGAAACAGTTTAGGCACAACTGAAAGCCTAAAATCTTGTGATGAGTTGGAACAGTTGATATCTGAAAACATTCCAGAAGATCTTGAGGCACCTGAGAAAAAATGTGTGCAAAAGGTATGTGAGCTAAAAGAAAGAAATAGAGCTCCATAAAGTCTGACCCATGGACTGAAAATCACACTGAGATTGTTGTCAAAACATCACTGGTTCACCATGTGTCTCAAAGCGTTAGTGCATGGGTGACGGGTTGGGGATGGGGGGTCTTTCTGGGTCAGCATGTGAGTGGGTGGGCAGACATGTCCCAGGTTTTTTGGTGTTTGTTTTCCCTTTGTCTTCTCTGTGTTGGTTAAGTGTGCCATTAGGCTGGTGGTTAGCACTTCCACTTCAGGAAAGGTTACGGTTTTTGACTTTGACTAGCCACAGTGTGTTTTTACAATGATTCACCCTCTACCTTTCTACTGCTAAATTACAGAGGATATAAATCATAATTAGTGTATGAAGACACTGTTCAAGAAAAGTCAGGGAGGACTCTCTTTGTGTTTGACAACTAAAGCATGAAAATACCTGACAACGTAGTTAACACCCATTTTTCTTCTCAATGTGTTGCACAGTTTGTAGCTCTGTTGAAGAAGAAAAAGAAGAAACAATATTTTATACAACACCTCTCATGACGACATCAAGAAGGTGCTTAACAAAAACAAAAAAAAAATTTTTACTCATTCCAAACAGAAACCCAATGGGGATATTTTGTCTTTGGGTGGACTCCAAATTTTTTTTGTTTGTTTTTTTCTCTTTATGTTGTTTCTCTTTTGTTATCTAACAATCAGTCCCGATAATCATATTGAAGAAATAAATAATGTTCATACATTTTGTACCCTAAGCCAGGAAAGTGTTTCCATGACAACAGGCCAAGTGTTTCCGTGGTATACAGAGAGGATAATTGGCTTTACAGACGGCTTTTCCCTACAGTCACCCTTGGGACCAACAGCATCTTCCAACTGTTAGTTTTACTTTAACCTGCTTGAGAAAGCCATCTATTACATGAAGCCTTGGTTGTCTGAGTGATTTGCATTGTGTTTGTGGGAATGTATTTGTGTGTATGAGCTGGCAGACAGGTGACGAACCTGCTACAGTAAGTCACTGGGAAACCTAAAATTTACCGAAGTTACTTCTGGAAAATGTTAAGTCAGTCCAGTTAGTTTGGAAATGTAATGCAGAGCAATGTTTTGCTTTGCTTGTCTTTTACTCTTGATTTACTTTTTTGTACCATTGGAGATTAATTAGCGCGTTTAAAAGTCTGACAGAATTTAGAGGCAGATATTCCAACCCTCCTACGTACGGATGAATCACTTCTCCTGTGTAGGAGTTCAGCCATATTTATTAGAAGTATTGATGCATCAGATCAGAGTGTGATGGTTGGGTGGTAGAACCCATGAAGAATAGCAGTGACTCCTAGCCCATCAAAACAAAAAGAGAGAGTGGGGAAACAGAATCTGCTAGTGAGCTGTGACCTGAGGCTGCCGGCTAGGTGGGAGTCCCATAAGGTGGTGCTGGATGTGAGCCAGGAGAAAGCAGGACTGCAGGGGGAATTTCTGAATGATGGGTAGATGTAACAGTTTTTAAAATATTAACAAAAAGATTCAAAATGGTGCAAATAGTGTGTGTGTGTGTGTGTGTGTGTGTGTGTGTGTGTGTGTGTGTGTGTGTGTGTGTGTGTGTGTGTGTGTGTGTGTGTGTGTGTGTGTGTGTGTGTGTACACAATAATCCTCAAAGACAAACATCAAACCTTTTTGTCAAGAAAAAAGTAGGTCACAAATTTGTTGCATTTTATTGGGTTTTCTCAAAGCTTAGTTTTGGTTTTAGGTTTCCCAGGAGGCTTTTTGGAGATGTCTAGCAAGGAGTTCCTGAGCACAGGACTGTGAAATGCACATAAATAAAAGCACATGAAAAGATAAAAATACATAAAAACATAAAAAGATGAGAGAAACAAGCACAGAGTACTGTGATGCTTACTTTATACACCAGATTTACTGAATAGCCGTGTACTGTTGTTGAATACACTAATTAGGATTTCTTTTCTGGGGGTTTATTTTATTTTTTGTTTGTTTTTTGCAAATTTGGAAAAACAGAAAGTGAAAGGAATTGTTGAATTTTCTCCAAATATCGACTAATAGAGTCTTAGCATGTAAAAAACTTCTGTGTGTCGCTGTACATTCCAGAAAGGGATTTACTAAAGGTTAAAGAATCAGAGTAGCAAACATTCTGTTTCATCTTGATGCTCAAAAAGAAAAATAGCTGTGCTTTATGTATTTTTCCTCAAAGAAATTAAATTGATAATGGATTTTTGATGGAGTTCAGACTCCTATAACTAAGTATGAGAGGAAAGTGTGAGAATGCACACAAACGTTTTGTGACTCTTTGTTGCCAATGCACACAGTCCAGTGAGATGCTGGCTTGAAGTGCAACTTAGTTCTACCAGTGGTGAAGGAACAACATCACATTCTTTAGACAAAATTTGGTTTATTAAATCCACACTGTATTGCGGACTCTTCACTAAACCATGATGTGTAACGCCAGCTCCAGCCACAGCTTTCCTGTACAAATTTATTCAAATATTGTATACATACATACATTTATTACCCATGTTGGCACGGACAGGTTGGGTTTGCTTCAATGATAGTTTGAGGTCTGAGGAAATCTTTCAGACAAAAGCTTTACTTCCCAAGCACCCCAGATGTTTATTTAACAACAGATGTGTTTAATAACCCTGATTCCTCTGTCAAATAGATGTGTCAGCATGTCCTGCTCTTGTTTTCACTGTTTATTCTACCAAAATCGAGGAGGAAACTGATTCCTGCCTTATTTGGTTCCAAATGGCTCCGTAAAGCACTGTTTGCAGCATCCTGATCCTGACTGATTAATGTTCTTTGATGGAAGTGACTGTTTTGCGTTGTCAAACTTTAAAGACCAAGTTCACTCTTTTTTTTCCAATACATTTGCAATGGTCTCTAGTTTAAATTAATTCCTTGTGAGTTGATCTCTAAGGGAAAGAAATCTCTGGTGTTTCAGGAACAAGAGCAGTGGGGAGCAGAATTCAGCAGGTTTTGGAGTCTTGATATTTGGACATCTCACCTGATTGGCTGACAGCAACACCACCCTACCACTGACTTAGTTTGCTATGCAACAGTGAGGTTTTATCTCCACAAATAACATTAGCCTGAAGGAGTTCTGCAGTGGTGGAGTTGCTAATGCTAATGGTTAGCTTCTACTAGTGAAGACATGCTCTGTTCTCTCCTGGAAGCCAAAGAGTTCCCTGGTCGTGAGCCAAGATGGGCGAGTCCATGAATGCAAATTTACAGTGGGATGTAGATCTTCGTGGCTTTTTCTGACCTGAACATTTCATTGTTACACTTACTGCATACACTTCTCTGCACCAACCAACACTTGAATCTGTTTTTGATTCCTTCTCATTGATCTCTTTGGTAGATTTGGAGGATCTGGTATTAAAATTGAAACCAGCAGGTTCCCCTCATGATGCTTTGTTGGCTTGGTTTTTAGGAAGGTGTTCTTGGTTTTTTAGTCCCATCAGTTTTACCAATTCTAAACAGTAGCCTGGCTTCAAGTGTGGTCCTGTCTGGTTTTAAACATGCGTTAGTTAGACTGCTGCCAAAGAAGCAGGGCTTGGACCCTGACCTTTTTTCTAGACCAATCACACATCTCCCGTTTTATGCAAAGATTTTGGAGCATGTTGTATACAGGCAGCTGGTAACTTTTTAAACTGAGCACAAGAATTTTGAGCCTCTACAATATGGGTTCTGATGTGAGCACTGTACAGAGACTGCTCTTTTAAGGATTTTAAATTACGTATTTTAAACAACTGATGCAGGAAAGGTGGTGATTATTTTACTTTTGGATCTGAAGGCTGCGTTTGATACAGTAGATCACCAGGTTCTGTTGGACAGGCTGGTACACTAGGTTGTGCTAACTGGTCCAGCTCTTCAATGGATGAGATCTGATCACTTATCATACAAGTAGTCATTCTGCGTAAGCATAGGGGCTTGTTGTTCTGCAGACGTTCCTGTGGCATGGGGGGGGGGGGGTCAAATGGGTCAGTGTTAGGTCCCTGTTGCTTTCCATCTATATATTTCCCCTGGGGCTACTTCTGCAGAAGTATGGAATGGAGTTCCATCTATATGCTGACGACAGTCAGATATATCTCCCAATCTGACAGTGATGGGAGGTGAGACACGGACTCTAAAGGATTGCCATGCGGAGAAGCGTTTGTGGATGTTGGCTAATTATCTCAGTTTGAATGAAAATAAGACTGAAGTAAATGTGTTTTCTACCAGTGACTGTCAGCACCATGGCGCTCTGACGAAGGCGGCAGTGAAAGTCGAAAAATATCAGAAAAGGTAACAACAAACCCTCATCACTCTGTGTTTAACAAAGAACAAAAGAAAATCCTCTAGATTACTAGATTTATAAACCTCATCCATGGTCCCATGATTTGGATGATTCATCCATCCATTTCTTCTGCTTATTGTCATCATCATTTTATTTCTATAGCACCTTCCACCACCTTCTTGGTGGCCCAAGATGCTGTACACCAGCAAAATACAACAGAAACAATTATTTAAAAAAAACATGATAAAAGTAAACAAAAGAGAGATAAAGTATATTTAAATTGGGAAAATAAATACTGTCTAAAACCCAATAAAAACCCAGGCATAACCAGGAAATTACGGGGGACCAATAAAAGAGGACAATGTAACCAAGTTTGACAAGGAACTCAGGGGGGAAATGCCTACAGATAAAAGTGTGTTTATAAGCTAGACTTAAAAACTGGATTGAGGGCGCCTGCTTCACAAGCAACGGAAGTCCATTCCAAAGGTTTGGGGCCACCACAGAAAATGCACGGTCCCCTCGACATTTGTATTTAGAGTGTGGGACTTAAAGGCGTTCTCTGTCTTGAGAACGCTAGGCCAAGGGGTCATCTACGAAGCATTCAAGGTTATCCAATATTGGGTTGCAAAAGTAACCACTCTCCACCACCTCCAGGGGGACCTCAAGGCTATCCCAGACAGGAAAAGATAGGTTTTCCTTAACATAAGTTCCTGGTCTGGGAGAGCTGGGAGTGGTTGATGCTCCTCCTCATCAAATTGAGTCAGCTGAGGTGTATCGGCATTAGGGCTGCACAATATATCGAAAAATTATCGTCATCGCGATAATAGGACGTGCGATAGGCCCATCGCAAAACATGGCAAAAACAGCGATAAATGTTTGGTTCAAACATTTCCATCCGTGTCATACATCAGCTTTTTGTAAACCAGCTTTGTTTTTTACGTGGAAGTGTTATTTGACCAATCAAATGTAGTCCTTCTGATATGTGGCCAATCAGATGGTTCTGTTCACGTAATACGCCCGCTCCCTACATAGACCCTTTTGGAAAGCAACACTCGAACTGAGTTAGCGGCGCTGCTCCCTTGTTCGTCATGCTGGCTCAGAGCAACGAACGCACTTTGTGCTGATGTTTCTGGATTCAGCGCTGCTTTCAAACGTGAACGTGACTCCACTCTGTGTCGTTAATCATATTTACCGGGCTGACTCCGACACGTGCCGG